GCTGTCAGAGCCATGAACTGCTTCTTCCACGTCATGCAAATCTAACAGCAGTAAGTTAGAAAATGTTTAAATCACACATATAGTTATAAAACTAATCTGGTTTCTGAGATGCTGTGTCCCCCAACTAAAGACTGTTTCGTTAAAGACTGTTTTGTTGCTCGGTATTAGATCTTACATTTCTGTAATTAATTGTTCAGCTTTTGCTTGTGTTTTTCTTGTGTAATGCAACTCCCTCATCCCTTCCAACATGCACACTGATGACTTTTCTTGCTTTAAACATAAATTGAAGATGTTTGTATTTTTCACTTCTTACCCTATTTACCCTGCTGACTGTTCTAGTTTACATTGTCTGATTTTTTATGTTTGCTTGTTGAAATCAATTTTTCAGTGCCTTGAGGTAAAAGCTATTTAGCACTTATGGCTCCTCCCATCTTCAAAGTTCTATATGTATATCACCTAATTAATCTTCACAGTACATTTTGGAGCTGAAATATTTATGGATGAGGAAATTGAGGTGGAGAGGTTGAAGGAAAAGTCGGAATCAAGAGGTTCTGGCTCTTAGTCCAGTGTAATTTATGTGACTAGACCACATAGTGCAAGAAATATTTTCCATTTAAACAGGTTTCAGAGTGGTAGCCGTGTTAGTCTGTATCAGCAAAAAGAACGAGTAGTACTTGTGGCACCTTAGAGACTAACAAATGTATTTGAGCATAAGCTTTCGTGGGCTAAAACCCACTTCATCGGATGTATTTTCCACTGCAAGCATCCGATGAAGTGGGTTTTAGCCCATGAAACCTTATGCTCAAATAAATTGGTTAGTCTCTAAGGTGCCACAAGTACTCCTCGTTCTTCTTCCATTTAAAGCCTTTCAAGACATCAATAATCTCTGAATAAAACCAAAAAGCACTTAGTTAGGTAAATCACAAACATAAGTTTCAGATAATTTGCTACTGCTGCTCTTCCTCCTTTACAGGGAGCGCTTAGAAAAGACAATTTAGGCCAAAAGTATTCAGTACAAAGTATAAATTTGTGTCATACACCTGAACAGTGACTGTCAGGCAGGAGGGGAAAAGCAGGTGTTATAAATAAACTCATTTTCCAGGGCAGACATGGGCATAGGGGTTTTGAATTGTTATTAACTTTGCCCACTTTTCACAGAACTAAACAAAACTGAAATTTCATAAACTTTAATGAAAAACTGAACAGTTTAGAACACTGTAACCAGAACAAAACCCACACTCAAGTTATTTTGACATTCTTTTCCTGGAATTCTTCTCCTTAGTTGAATTATATTTCTTTCATGGAGATGAAGGAGGATGACTGTTTTTGCATGTTAGTACCCATAACTGAGATTATTAAAACAGAGGAAAAAATGTTGATTTTGTACTAATGAGTTCCTCTTTGGGTTGTAAAAAAATCACATGCATTTTGAAATCTCACTTCTCACTGGAAATACTTCTCTTCCATTACAGTGAAGGCTTCCCCCACCCATCCCCCATTATTTTTAAAATGTAAGCCATAGGAAATAGTACAGCAGCCCTAGCCTAAAACAAGTTCCACAGACAAAAAAGAACTTGGTTCTCAGACAGAAAATCCACAGGAATAAAATTATTCTGACAATAAAAGTTTGACTCAGTGTCAAGAAATATGTCAAAATATCAACACAGTGTAAATGTCACATACATTAAATGTTTCCTTGTACTGCTTCATAAAATATTAAAGGAGACAGTGGGAGGACAGGAAGAAGTTCATATAAGGAATTTGCATCACCGAACTTTCAATTGTCATAGTATTTCCTATCAGATTATTTATTCTGTGAAATACCGTAGAACTCTCATTGATAAAAATACACAGACAGATGGAGTTGTTTAGAAAGCTGTTCATCATTCTAAAATAGTGCAAATCACACTTTGGATTGAAGAACATGATAAAGAAAATGGCATTTCACTGTTCAGCCCAAATCAAATATTCCAACTACAGAGAGATTTTGTGTCTCCAAATGTACTGATTTTATTCCAGAAAAACTATATGCCATTTAAGAACAACATAAAATAAAGCACTCTAAGACTAGTTAGGTTCCTCTCCCTTAAAATGTTCAGCAGAATGTTAAAAAACAATAAACAGAAAAGTCCCCAAATGGAAAGTGTCTGGCAGTAGGGAAGATCTCAGACTAGAGTCCATAGACTAACCAGTGATTGCAGAGCTCTGTTCATGGCCCACAAGCCCACAGGAGAGAAGGCAGTAGAGAAGGTAAGGGATTTTAGAGCAGTGGATCTCAACCTTTCCAGACTACTGTACCCCTTTCAAGAGTCTGATCTGTCTTGTGTACCCCCAAGTTTCACCTTACTTAAAAACTTACAAAATCAGACATAAAAATACAAAAGTCTCACTGCACACTATTACTGAAAAATTGCTTGCTTTCTCATTACCACCATATAATTATAAAATAAATCAATTGAAATATAAATATTGTACTTACATTTCAGTGTATAGTATACAGAGCAGTATAAACAAATCATTGTCTATGAAATTTTAGTTTGTACTGACTTCACTAGTGCTTTTTATGTAGCCTGTTGTAAAACTAGGCAAATATCTAAATGAGTTGATGTACCCCCTGGAAGACCTCTGAGCACTTCCCAAGGGTACACGTACCCCTGGTTGAGAACCACTGTTTTAGAGGATAGTAGAGGACCTATTCCATGAGGTGATTTCTCTCTTCCAGATCAGAATAGAAATATGTGGGAACCACTGGCTAAGGCATATGTATCTGGCAGCACCACCATCTCTAATGTAAAAAAAAAAAACTGCAACCTGACACCAACCCACATAAAACCACACAAATAGCCCTATTTTTAGAGTAATTTTAACCTTGCTTAACTCCAGAAGCAATGTTGTCTGCTAACACCTTTCCTAACAGCACTTATAGATCAACAAACCTCCATCCAAGAGAGGAAAAAACTGCATTTTGGTGTCATTTCAACTCTTCTCAGATTTGTCCAGATATGGGTTAGTCCCAAAATCAAGAGTTGCAGTAAACGGGGAAAGTCACATGGCCAAAGGGAGCTGTGGCACTATCGCTCAACACTTCTCAATTTTCTTCAAAGATCACTTATCTCCTCCTCCTCTCTCTGCTTCTGATATTTATATTGTTTCTTTCCCCTACATTAAGACTGATGTCCACATGCTCCCAGTCCACTAGCACATTACTCTGTGACACTAGGATACTATTCTTGACAGTGAGTTCTAGTCCAGGGGGTGTCAAAACCTTTTTCTTTCTGAGGCCCCCTCAACATGCTATAAAAACTCCACGGCCCACTTGTGCCACAACAACTGTTTTTCTGCATATAAAAGCCAGGGCCTGCATTAAGGGGTAGCAAACAGGGCAGTTGCCTGGGGCCCCACGCCACAGGGGCCCCCGTGAAGCTACATTGCTCAGGCTTCGGCTTCAACACCGAATTATGAGGTTCAGAGCCCTGGGTTTCAGGCCCTGTGGTGGGGTTCTGTTTTCCGCCCTGGGCCACAGTGAGTCTAACACTGTCCCTATTTAGCAGACCCCCTGAAGCCTGCTTGTGGTCCCCCAGGGCACCCCAGACCTCTGGTTGAGAACAACTGTCCAGTCTAGGCTGTTATGGACTAGTCTCCCAGAGGAAGTGGTTAAAGCCCTATTTGCCTGGAACATTTAGAATGAACAAAGCACAAAAATATACATTAGGAAACAACCCCACACTAGCTCTGTAGAGGGTGGGAAGAAGTAATAGGTCCTCAGAGGACTTTTCCTTGTCTAACTCTATGACTCTAGTCCTTTTCTCCTAATGATACCACAAACCCCTGCCTGGATGCTACACAAAGACAACACCTAAGGAAACGAAGGAAGGCAAGTTTAGGCAGCGGGAACAACTGCAGAATACTGTTCCTGAGCATTACACCCAAGCCTGTCCCTAACCTGGCCACTAAATACATTAAAATAAACCAGACAGAATGGAGACAGGTGTCCCAAAAGGAGAGACCAGCAAGTCCTGTTCTCCTGCGACATGGACCTTCCTCGGCCCCTGCAGAACAGCAGCAAGTCCGTGAGCCTTCCCCAAAGGCCCTGCAAGACAGTGGCCAATCCACATGCTCCCTACCACCAGCCTTTCCTGGGCCCCCGCAGGCCAGCCCATGTGCCACGCGCCTTTGCCCGGCCCAGGCAGGACGGTGGCCAGCCCCCATGCCTGGTCCCAGGGGCTCAGTTCACCCACCCACCCAGAGCAGAGCACACCACACCCACACGGCGCACACCCACACACCGAGAGCACACACCCCACACACACACACACGGCACACACACAGAGCAGAGCACACCACACCACACACCCCCACACTGAGAGAGCACACTACCACCACCACCCCACACACACAGCAGAGCACACCACACACACACACACACAGCAGAGCACACCACACACACACACCCCACACACACACACACGGCGCACACACAGAGCAGAGCACACCACACACCCCCACACTCAAAGAGCACACCATCACCACCACCCACACCACACCACACACCCCCACACTCAGAGAGCACACTACCACCACCACCACCACCCCCCACACACAGCAGAGCACACCACACACGCACACACACAGCAGAGTACACCACACACGGTACACACACAGAGCAGAGCACACCCCACACACACACACACGGCGCACACACACAGCAGAGCACACCCCACACACACACGGCGCACACACAGAGCAGAGCACACCACACACGGTGCACACACACACGCAGAGCACACCACACGCACACCCCACACACACACACAGCAGAGCACACCCCACACACACACACACGGCGCACACACAGAGCAGAGCACACCACACCACACACACACACTTGTTGCCTCCCGGGAGGGCCCCGCCGCGGGGCGCGCGGGGTCAGGGTGACCCCACGGGAGCAGGGGACGTTGGGGCGAGCCCCGGGCTGCGCGGCGGGCGCGGCGGCCCCTTACCTGCGGCTGGAGGCGCGGCGGCGAGTCCCGCAGCCCCGCTCCGAGTCCGCGGCAGCGAGTCCCGGACACAACTTCGCCGCGCGCTCCCGACGCCCCCACCCGGGCCCGCGCCTCCTGCTCGGCTCCCTCCCCCTACGCGGGCGCGCGCCGCCCCGGCTGCCACGCAGGCCCTGCCGCCCGGGAGCGCGCGCCGGCCTGGCCCGGGCCCAGAGCTGGGGGTGGAGGCAGGGCGGGGGCGCGCCCCCCCCCCCCCCCCGGCGGCCCCCCCCGGGGTGGCTCTGCCCGCCCCAGCCCACGGGCCCGGGGAGCCTGGAGCCCGGGCAGACAGCCCCTGGGCGCGAAGGGGTCCGGCCCGAGGAGGGGGAGCATGGCGGCGCCAAGCCTGTTGAGGCGTCGCTCAGGGAGGGCACAGGCCGCTCAGAGGGGCACTGGGGGGACCGAGGGTGCAAGGGGAGGCTCTCCCCGAGGGGGGATGTACCGGCCCCCCAGCTCTCTGCCTGGGCCCGGCTGGGAGGCTGTCCTGTGGCTTGCGTGAGCCATGCCCACAAGCGGGAACAGCTCCTGAGCCCTCAGCGTTTGTACAGCGCCTGACACAGCAGGACCCCAAAGCCTGTGGGGGCTCCCGCACTAGGGCTAACAACAGCTAGGGCCCTACTGGCTGTGGGAATTCTACAAGGGAGAGTTAAATCCTACTAGAATGGACCTGAATACTGAACTACTGATATAAATAATAGAAATTTACCTGCAAGTTTGTTTAACTTCTGTTTTTAACTTGTGGGTTTTTCCACATCCTAAGATGAGTCATAGCAACAGCAAAACTGTACTGTGGAAAACAAAATTAGAAATGCCCTCCCACCACCATCACAGTCTCGTCACCTTTACTCCCACAGAAAATTACTTTCTCAAATGATTTATATGTCAGGAGACAATGCTCACGTCTTTTCCCCCTGAGAGTGACAGGGTGCACATATGTACCTAGTCATTTTGTTAATTTATACCTTTTGTTTTCCCCTTCTGATCCAGATAAAATTCCCCTCCACCTCTGTGCTTAACAGGAAATGAGCAGTGACAGTGAGAGAGACAGACATTAGTTGCAACAAAGGCAAAGTCATATATTTAGAGTTTCTTTCCTCAACATTTACATTTTTCTTTTCCTGTTGATGTATGTACATAATGTCCATTCAAAAGACACTCAGATGAGGTGCCCCATCATACAAGCACACATGCACTAAACATTAAGGACAATGTGAGTAGTTCCACTGAAGTCAACAGGACTAGTTTTATAAAAGTAAGCCTTGAATAAGTGGGTAGAGGATTGGAGCCTTAGTCCAAATCTAAAATTTGGGCTTTGCTATACATTCAATATGATTTTTCAAAACAAAAGGAACAGAAATATTTCCATGAAGTTTTTTTTCTTTTTTTAAATAAAATACTATTTTGTAGAGAAGCAGAGATTTAAACATCCCTCTGCTGTATTTTAAAACTAAATGTGATAGCATTTTTTCACTAGTGAAAGAGAACCCAAAGGTGAAATTAACTAGAAATGGAAGTGAAATTAACTACTCTGATTTCATTGTTTATGCTTCTCACCCAGCTTTGACAAACAGTTTATATGGTGAAAAATACATTTTATTTGTAAAATTATGTTTTTGTAAACTAAAGTCTAGTCTACACTCAAAACAGTTTGCTGGTATAGTTACACAGGTATATTCTTATAAAAACCTTCCTAGGGCACATGTATACAAATTAACCAGGCAAAAAAAATGCTTTTGTTAGTATAGCTTATACAAGTTTGATAAGCAAAATAAATTATACCAGCAAAAGCACTTTTATGCCAATATAACTACATCTACACTAGGGCTTTTGCAGGTATAGAAATGGTGCAACACAATCATGCCCCTAACCAAAATTGCTATACCAGCAAAAGTTTCTAGTTTTAAACTTGGCCTAAAGTGTCAAACGGTCCCCTATTCTTTGCAAACAACTCTCAGAGCTGACAAATTCATTACACCAAACATGTCTTGCAGTATATTTACCCATAAAAAGTAATATGTAAGGTATCTACATAAAGCTTATGACTATCAAGACAATCATTGTGAGATGTATGTACAGGGAATATCAAGGAATAATGTAACTATATGGAAAGTATACTTTATGGACTTGGAGTAGAAGTTTGTCACCAGAGGATAAAATGTCTTGGTGATGGCCGATTCGAAAAGGAGCGGTCATCCTGCCATGTTTAGCCAGTGAGGTAATGCAAGGCTCAGTTGTCTAGCCTTATTCCTTCCCAAGACTATCAATGGAAAACCATCAGACAACTGCAAACAATCAAAACCACTTGGAGGTAAAAAAGGAACATTACAGAAGACCAGTTTGCCCTGTCTATGAATAAAGACAAAAGACTATTTCAGTATAACAGAGGAGGGGGAAAGACACTCTACATCCTTTCACTGAGGAGACATCCTGGTTCTCCTGAAAAATTGGATCCAGCCAGCCAGCTCTGCAACAGCCTGAACTTTGAGGGGAAAACTACTTTATTAGATAGGAAAGGTAACTTAAGTGTAGACCCAGGTTCACGCTTTATGATTTTGTTTTGTATTGTAAATGAGTTTCTACCACTCTTCTCTCTCTTGTTTCTAGTTAACTCTCCATTCTTTCTTAATAAAACGAAAGTAAGTTGATTTATAAGTGCTCACAGTTAAACAGGAGCAGTGATTTAATGTAAAACTACTAAACTGGGTCACACTGTTTCCTTCGGTTGCAGAAGATTTGGGATTTCTGTGAGTAGGTAGTGTCAGCCTGGATATCACAGAGGAATGATTCAAAGAGATTTGGGGATTGGGGTTCACCTATTGTTAACCTGCAAGACAAAGACAAGGCTGGCGTAAGCCCAGCGGCAAATCCTTGAGTGACTAACAAGTTGGCAGTGTCAGGGAGCTAACACCCAGTTACCACAAGCAAGACTCCCTCACACTGGAGGCCGGGGGTAAGAGGGTGACTCTCAGTCCTGGGTATCCCATAAACCGTCACACATGGCATTATGCTTTTTAACATTAGTGATAGATACATGTATGCATCAGCTAGGCAGGGTTTTCCATCTTTCCCACAATACCCGCTCCTGTTTGATTTCAACACATCTTCCTCATGTGTATGTCTAATGGTGAAATTCAGACAAAGGGTAACTTTGAAGCAGCTCTTTAATTCTCAAGGAGTGCCGCAAAAGGAGCATTGTTTGGGGCTTGGGTGTAACTATACAGCTCTAAGAGGCAGTTTTAACGTATTCTTGATTTCTCACCTTTGATTCCACTCCAATGGTTCCATTTGTATTTTCTCCTAAAAAGGAGGATTTCTCATCATATGTTATTGTTACCCTGCATGTGGATTTGACATACCAGACAATGTGGCCAGTCAAACCAGACTGGTTTATTAACACAGGATGATAGGCGGCTGGGGCAGAACATTCAGCACACAGCAAACTCCCCCACTTTGTGACAAAATTATCAGTTATATCCCACCTGCTCTGTTCCTTAAACCTCTTATGTTTAAGAATTATTTTAGATACCCTGCAACTGGACTAGAGTTGGCTTGAGAGGACAGTCCCAATACACAATATCAAAGGTACTTTATCAATAACATCTTCTATTTGTTATTTATTATTTGCATTGAGGTAGTATCTACAGGCCTACCTCTCAGATTGGGGCGCCACTACGCTAGGCACTGTATACCCCACACACAGACAACCCTGCCCTCCTTCCTAAACCAATGTTCTCTTACATTACAATCCAAATAGAATATCATTTTAGATTTGTAGAAGAGCCACCTCTCTTTGCAGACAGTCTGACCACAGCATGTAAATCAGTTCTGTGTAGAACCTGTTACCAGAGACATTTTGGTTAGAATAAGTTATTTTTTCCTGTAGGTTTAACTTGTGTGGCTTCATAAGGTCCAAGATAAGTTTCTATTTTGCATTAACCTGAAACTTCATGACAAATCTTGGCTTAAATTACTGAGTTTATCAATTGAAATTCCTAGTTTCAGGCAAACTTTTTGCCAAAACAATGCCATCTCTGGAATCCAGAGACAAGAAGATATAGCAAAAGGTTTGTGTAATTTGAAGGCAATTGCATCAGTAGGACCTGAAACCATTTGACCAGGGGAATTTGACTGGGTTGGAGTTTTGTTGCAAAAGTTTCTTCCACAACTCTAATGTAAACTCAGCTGTGTAGTCAGTTTGGGCACATGTAGACAAGACTCTTCCAGAGGCTCAAGTCCCTAATATGTCTGATACTTAAGATGTTGCAAGAGTATATACTATCTCCTTGAACATTTTTGATAACGTAAAGAGTTTTCTCTCATGGGTACAGATGCTTGCACAGCTATGCTATGCTTCTCACTAGAGACAGAGTAATAGACACACCAGATGGAAACTAAGAGGCCACCTGGTTTTAAAGCAAATTATATCATCAGTCCATCAGTACAAAATCTGAAACATAAGGGAAGTGCTTAGAGTGAAACAAAATGAATTCCATTTTTTTTATCCAAACTCAATTTTCCCAAGATCGGTGGAGCATGGTCTTTTTCATATGGACAGAGGTGTACGGACTTTTTAAGTGTGTAACATCAAATGAAACCAGAGAGTTTTTAGTTATTCTGCTTTCAGTTACTGTCCTTCTAGGCAGTAAAGAAGCCTTTAAAAATGGGCTACATTCTTGTGCACCGCTCCAACATCCAGGCTCTTTTATTGCTGAATTAGACAGACCAGACAGAATTACTTTAGATTACCAACAGAATTCAATTAGAAAAGAAAATTTAATTTCCTCAATTAAGTCTCGACAGAGATGTGCCTAGTTTAATATAGTGCATTATTGTTCCATGTGAAATTCCTTTCTGAACAACCCAAATATGAAAGGAAAAAATTCAATAATAATTTTTTCTGGAAGTTTTGTGTGTCAAATGTAATCAAATTTAAAACAAAGTTATTAATGGATCCTGCAGCCTGGCTCTGCACGGCAAGGTTAAAAACCGTGTGCCTGAACACCCAAAGCTTCCTTTTAATTCAGAGCAAGTGCTGACTGCCCAAGGATTGCAGTGTTAGGCCTTTAAG